TCTGAGAATCCTGATATAAAACCATCCTCATATAGCCATCTAATCTTTGACAAAGCAGACAAAAAAATATGCTGGGGAAAAGAATCCCTTTTCAATAAATGGTGCTGGGAAAACTGGATAGCCACTTGTAGAAGGCTAAAGCAGGACCCACACCTCTCACCTCTCACAAAAATCAACTCATGCTGGATAACAGACTTAAACCTAAAGTATGAAACTATTAGAATTCTAGAGGAAAGTGTTGGAAACACTCTCCTAGACATCAGGCTAGGCAAAGAGTTTATGAAGAAGTCCCCAAAGGCAATCACAGCAGCAACAAAAATAAATAAATGGGACATGATCAAGCTAAAAAACTTCTGCACAGCCAAAGAAACAGTCATGAAAGTAAACAGCCAACTTACAGAATGAGAGAAAATTTTTGCATCCTACACATCTGATAAGGGGCTCTTAACTAGAATATACTTAGAACTCACGAAAATCAGCAAGAAAAAAAATCAAATAACTCTATTAAAAAGTGAGCAAAGGACATGAACAGAAACTTTTCTAAAAAGGACAGAAGAATGGCCAACAAATATATGAAAAAATGCTCAACATCTCTAATCATCAGGGAAATGCAAATCAAAACCACAATGAGATATCACGTAACTCCAGTGAGAATGGCCTTTATCAGAAAGTCTCCAAATATCAAATGCTCGCGTGGATGCGGAGAGAGAGGAACACTCTCCTACACTGTTGGTGGGACTGTAAACTAGTTCAACCTCTGTGGAAAACAATATGGAGATACCTTAAAGTGATACAAGGGAATCTACCATATGATCCAGCAATCCCACTACTGGGTATATATCTAAATGGAATGAAATCACTATATCAAAGATATATTTGCACCCCTGTGTTTATTGCAGCACTATTCACAATAGCCAAGATATGGAATAACCTAAGTGTTCATCAACTGATAGGTAAATAAAGAAAATTGGGTACATAAACACAATGGGATACTACTGATCCATAAAGAAGAAGGAAATCCTGTCATCTGCAGCAACATGGATGAACCTGGAGGACATTATGTTATGTGAAATAAGCCAGGCAAAGAAAGACGGGTGCCACATGATCTCACTCACTCATATGTGCAACCTATAAAATTTGACTTCATAGAAAGTCAAAGTAGAATGTTAGTTGCCAGAAACTGGGGTGGTTGGGGAGGAGGGAGTTGGGGAGATATCGGTCAAAAGATACAAAATTACAGTTAGGAGAAATAAGTTCAGGCAATCTTTTGTGTTATATGGCTGTGGTTAATGATAATATATTTTATTTTTGAGAAATGCTGAGAGTGGATGCTAAGTGTTCTTACACAAAAATGATAGCTATGTGAGTCAATGCATGTGTTAATTAGTCAGAATTAACCATTTTACAATGCATATATATGTTACAATTCAAAACATGATGTTATACATGATAAATACATACAATTTTATCTGTCAACTTAAAAAAAATATGCAAGAACAAAGCATAAAATCTCTTCTGTTATACCAGGTTGAACTGAAAGCATTAAGGATCACAGAGGTAAGACTAAAGTCACCAAGTTGATTCTTTTAGGATTTCAAAGTGCGAAAGTAGAATTTCTTCTATTTTTTACATTCCTGCTCATGTGCATGTCATCTCTGCTTGGCAACACCATGATCATCCTTCTGGTGTGCTGTGACTACCGTCTGCACTCATCCATATATTTCTTTGTGGCCAACCTTGCCTTCCTTGAAGTCGCCATCACCTCCACGGTGGTGCCCAAGATGCTGGCCAACACATTTTCCCTCACCAAAACAATATCCTTTGTGGGCTGTCTCACACAATCTTTTTTCTACTTCCTTCTGGGATCCACAGAATTCTTCATCCTGGCTGTCATGTCCTTTGATCGATATGTTGCCATCTGCAGCCCACTGAGGTATGTAATCATCATGGACACACAGACATGCATAATGCTGCTTCTGGGATCCTATGTGGGTTCATTTTTGTCAATTTTGGTGCCATCCATTTTAACTTCACCCATAATTTTTGTAGGCAAAACAAAACCCACCATTTCTTCTGTGACAGTGCTCCAGTGCTGAAGCTGGTCTGTGCAAACATCTCTCTGGCTGAGCTGGCTGACTTTATTTCCTTGCTCCTGGGCTCCTTGCTCCTGACAGGAGTGTCTTACATCTACATTGTCATTACTGTCCTGAGAATGCCCTCTGCGCAGGGACGACAGAAGGCTTTCTCCACCTGTGCTTCACACATCATCGTAGTTACACTTTATTATGGGAGCTCCATTTTTATCTAAAAATGTAATTCACCACATAAATAGGAGCAAAAATAAAGATCATATGATCCTCTCAAAAGATGAAGAAAAAGCATTTGACAAAATTGACCACCCTTTTAAAAAATAGGTATAGACAGGACTTACCTCAAAACGATAAAAACCATAGGCAACATGATACTAAATGGGGAAAAATTGAAAGCATTCCTGCTTAGAACTTAAACCAGACAATACTGCCTCCTATCACCACTACTATTCAATAAAGTACTGGAAGTTCTAGCCAGAGCAGTCAGACAAGAGAAGGAAATCAAGGGTATTCAAAGGGGGGGTGGGACAGAAGAGGTCAAACTATCACTCTGCTGACAATACGATCTTATATCTAGAAAACCTGGAAGAATCTGCCAAGAGACTACTGAAACTGTTAAATAAATTCAGTGACGTCTCAAGTTACAAAATCAATGTACACACATCAGTAGCATTTGCATATACTAACAATAGTCAAGCTGAGAACCAAATCAAAGACTCAATACCTTTCACAATAGCAACAAAGAAAAAAAGTACCTAGGAATATATTTAACTAATGAGGCAAAAGACCTTTACAGGGATAAGATGAAACACTGAGGAAGGAAATAGCAGAGGATGTAACAATGGACAACCATAATGTCCATTGTTACAGAATGGACAGAATAAACATTGTTAAATGTATATACCACCCAAACTGATCTATAGATTCAATTCAATCCCTATTAAAATGCCAACATCATTTTTCGCAGATCTTGAAAAATAATATGCTTTGTATGGAACCCATATAGCCAAATCAACCTTAACAAAAAGAACAAATTGGGAGGTATCAATTTACCAGACTTCAAGCTATACTACGAGGCTATAGTAACCAAAACAGCATATAAATGGTACAAAAACAGAGACGTAGATCTATGGATCAGAACAGAGAACCCAGATATAAATCCATCCTCACATTGCCCCCTGATCTTTTACAAATCAGACAAAAACATACACTGGGGGAAAGAATCACTATTCAATAAATGGTGCTGGGAAAACTGGATAGCCACATGTAGAAGACTGAAACAGTATCTGCACCTGTCACCACTCACAAAATAATTAATGATGGATAATAGACTTAAACCTAAGGCATGAAACTATAAGAATTCGAGAAGAAAATGTTAGAAAACTCTTATAGTTATCAGCATAGGCAAATAGCTTATGAAGAAGAAGATAAAAAAAAAAGCAATCACAACAACAGCAACAATAAATAAATCGGACCTGGTCAAATTTAAAAGCTTCTGCACAGCCAAGGACACAATCAATAGAACAAACAGACAATCTAAAGAATGGGAGAAAACATCCACATGCTATATATCTGATAAAGGGCTGATAACCAGAGACCACAAAGAACTAGAGCAAATCAGTAAGAAAAAAATCAAACAACCCCATTAAAAAGTGGGCAAAAGACATGAACAGAAGCTATTCAAATTACAATAGGCAAATGCCCAACAAACACATTAAAAAATGCTCAATATCTCTAATAATCAGGTAAATGCAAATAAAAAGCACAATGACATATCCTCTAACTCTAGTGAGAATGGCTTTTATCAAAAAGTCCCAAAGCAAGAGATGCTCGTGAGGATGTGGAGTGAAAGGAACACAAATACACTTTTGGTGGGACTGTAAACCAGTACTATACCACCATTTTTTTTATAGCTGAGTAGTACTCCATGGTATACATATACCACATTTTATTAATCCATAACACTGCTGGTGGGACTGCAAACCAGTACAACCTCTACGTAAAGTAGTATGGAAATATCTCAAAGAACTAAAAAAAAAAAAAAGCCTACCATTTGATTCAGCAATCCCACTAATACGTATTTACCCAAAGGAAAAAAGGCATTCTATAAAAAAGACATCTACACTCTAATCTTTATAGTAGCAAAATTCACAATTGAAAGATGTGGAAACTGGTACCCATCAATACATGGGTGGATTAATAAAATGTGGTATATGTGTACCATGGAGTTCTACTCAGTTATATAAAATGGTGATATAGTATCTTTTGTAACAACCTATATGGAACTGGAGACCATTATTCTAAGTGAAGTATTGCAAGAATGGAAAAAAGAGACACTACATGTACAAACCATTAAATTAGAACCAATCAATCAACACTTAATGTGCATATTTGGAAGTAAAACTCAAGGAAAATCAAGTAGCTGGGATGGCTGAGGAGGAGATGGGTAAATTCACACCTAACAGGTAAAATGCATACTAACTGGGTAAAGGACAGACTTATAACTTTGACTCAAATTGTATAAAAGCAAATTATGTAACCCAAACATGTATACCCCCATGATATTCTGAAATTTGAAAATAAAATTTATATACTATAGATATTTACAACTATGTGAATGAATCTCAAAACAAATATTACATTAAAAGCAGTGTGGCAGTTTAAATATTATATGTACATAACATCATAGCAATTTACATAATATATGTTTTCACCCTTTTGCAGTCCAAAGCTTGCTAATAGATATAGGAATGCTGGTTGCCTCCAGAGATTGAGGATTAACTGGAAGTGGAGTGTGAGCTGGGAGATGGAAAAGTTTAATGTCTTGATTGGGGTTTTCCTCACATAAGTGTTTATATTTGTCAAAATGTATAAAATTGTACAACTAAAATCTATGCATTTTACCATTAGGAAGCAAATAACCATGTCTAACTACCTCAAGTTCAGCACGTGGAAATTGTCGTGAACTGAGTCTCCTCAGCCTCCGTGCTGACCCTGTGAATGCAGTGACCCAGCCCAACCAAGGGCCGCTCCAGCTGCTGAGGGTCTGGAGGAGAGCCTGCAGTCAGTCTATGTGCAAAATAGGTAATTGCTATTGTTTTTAGCCACTGTTTGATGGTAGTTTGTTGCAACTTAATTTGCAGTTGAACCAAAATTATTCTTCTCTTATCCCTTCTTATATGTAGAATCTATAGTTTATCTCTACTTTTATTCTTCATATTGATAATTTGTGGTTTCTCCCTTTTTTCCTTGGACATTCTTGCTAGGGTCGTGTACATTTTATTAATCTTTTCATAAAAACAACTTTTGGCTTCATTAAATTCCTCTATACTCTATGTTTTCCAGTTCATTATGATTTTCTCTATTCTCTTTTTAAACTACTTTTGGTTTGCTATGTATCTCTTTTTTAGTTTTTTTAGGCAGAAATTTGCATCATTTATTTTAAGACATTTTTCCCCTAATGGAAGCATTTAAGTATATAACTTCAGCTCTAAGCACTACTTTAGATGCATCTACAAATAATGTATTGTTCTTTTATCAATAATAAAATATATTCAATGTATTATTTTATTTTTTAAAATTGTATTTGTTCCTAGTCCCAAGGTTTATGTAGAAGTGCCTCCTAAATATTTGGGAATTTTTATGCATACCACTTTTAAAAATTGATTTCTAATTTAATTTCATTGTAGTCACAGAAAATTCTCTGGATGATTTTAGACTTTTTAAATATATTGAAACTTATTTTCTGGGTTAGCCTGTGATCCTTCTTGATGAACTTTCTATTTGCACTTTTGAAAAATATAGATTTAACTCCTCCCTGGATTTCAACTTGTTTGAGCTCATCTTGTGTTTTTAAAGATCCACACCCCAGTGTGTAGGGGTTTGGACTGGACTGCAGCCCTACCTGGAGAGAACAGGGTTTGGGTAGATTGTACACCCAGCTCTGCTGCTGACAACACATTATTTCTCCTTTAGAGATTTTTACCCTCTTCATCAATGGCGCTGTGTCGTTCTTCAAGGTCATAAAATGCTCCACAGCTCTTCCTTGTGGCCACCAGAGAGTAGGCCAGTTGATCCTGAATTCATGGACAATATGAGAGGAGGTCACAGCTTGCAGACTCCCCAGCATCCTGAGGCCAAATGTGCTGACCTTAGAAGAACACATGGAGACCTGCAACCAGGAAGGCATTTTGCAAGGAGACATCAAACCAGGGCACCTCAGGGAGGGCCTGATGCCTCCCCTTCAGGGAGGCTCTCCTGTCTTTAACGGGCATTCAGCCACTTCCAAGAAGGCATCTTGTAGGAAATTCAAATGAGGACCAAGATGTTCATCTCAACATTTTTTATGATCACAAGAATTTGGGAAAACAGAACTGTCCAATAATAAGCGATTGGTTGAGTAAACAAGGTATTCCCCTCCAGTGGAACTTTAGTCATTTATTAAAAGTGGGATTTACAAAACTGTAGAACATGGGGAAATGCTTATGAGAGATGATATACTATTAAAAGTATCAATTCAATGTATAACTTAGTAAAATAGTCAGTGTTCTACAGTATGAGCTGAAAATGGAAAGTGCATAACCAATGACTGGAAAGAAATATGCCAAACATTAAGAATAGGGTTTTACTTATGGGAGAAATACTCTGAGAAATTTGAGTCTTTGTCCTTTTGTAATTTCCAAAAAGAGAGTGTTACTTAGGGCTCCACTTAGAAATGAAAATCCCTTTTAAATAAGTAGTGCAGAACTTCAAAGAAATAATACAGTATCAGTCTGTGTGTTTCTTTCAAAGTCTTGCTTTATCTATGCAATGCTTCATAAAAGGCCAGGTGATTTGAACAATCTACATGATCATCAACAAGACATTGCTTTAATGCATTGTGGGGGTCCTAGATCAACGATCACACAGCCACTGAACATTAAGAAGTCCACAAGTGGCATTGGCCTGGAGAGGGTCTCTGAAGTCTTGTGAAAAGAAGAATTCAGCTTTCTAAATACTAGGACAGAGCCAAAACCATTTTTAAATAGAAAAATTATAAATGTTATTATGCATCAGAAAGAGACCCAGGCCACACAGTGGTTAATTCATGTACTTTCTGAGTAACTTAAATTTTGAAATTTTATTTTAATTCTAATTATGAAATTAATTTAATTAATGTAAAAATACACATTGTAAGTTTGTATCAGTACATTGTGAAAATTAATAAAAATTTTTTTAAATCAAAGCAATTTAAAAATATTTATTTCTTTAGACTCCCTGGCAAGGAAGCCCTGGGAGGGATGAACATTTGGCAGAGCAGAAGGAAGTTAGAAGGCAATATAGGGACGTTTGGTAGAGTAAAGCTAGGGAGCAGGAGGGCAGCAGGGCAGCCCTGCCTCAGCCTCTAGATCTGCTGGGCCTCTGGATCTCTGAGCCTAGGTCACCCTCCCCACTGACCACATCCTGCCTGCTGGCCAGATGCGCCTCAGAAAACCAATGTCCAGAAAAACCTTGTATACATATACAAAAATCAACTCCACACAGATTAAATTTAAATGCAAAACCTAAAGCTATAAAATTTCCATAAGAAAACTTAAGAAAAACTCTCTGTACAGTGCCCTGGGCAAAGTACTTATTACTAAGACCCCAAAAGCAAACACAACAAAAACAAAAATACACAAATAGGATTCAATTAAACTAAAAAGTTTTTGACAGCAAAAAAATCATCAACAAAGTAAATAGAAAACCTAGATAATGTGAGAAGAGTACTTGCAAACTGTATCCAAAAATGGACTAATATCAAAAATCTATAAAAAATTAAAATCAGCAAGAAAAAAACAAGCCCATTAAAGAGTGGGCAAAAGACATAAACAGACATTTTTCAAAAGAAGATAAACAAATGGCCAAGAACTATATGAAAACTGTCCAGGCGCGGTGGCTCACGCCTGTAATCCTAGCACTCTGGGAGGCTGAGGCGGGTGGATTGCTCAAGGTCAAGAGTTTGAAACCAGCCTGAGTGAGACCCCGTCTCTACTAAAAATAGGAAGAAACGAATTGACCAACTAAAAAATATATATATACAAAAAATTAGCCGGGCATGGTAGCGCATGCCTGTAGTCCCAGCTACTCAGGAGGCTGAGGCAGGAGGATCGCTTGAGCCCAGGAGTTTGAGGTTGCTGTGAGCCAGGCTGACGCCACGGCACTCACTCTAGCCTGGGAAACAAAGTGAGACTCTGTCTCAAAAAAAAAAAAAGAAGAAGAAGAACTATATGAAAACAAATGCTCAGCATCACTAATCATCAGGGAAATGCAAATTAAAATGACAATGAGATATCACCTTACTCATGTTAAAATGGCCATTTTTAAAATGTAAAAAAAAAAAACAATCAATGTTGGCAAACATGCAATGAAAAAAGAATACTGTTGGCGGGAATGTAAATCACTGCAACCTCTATAGAAAACAGTATGGCGATTGCTCCAAGAACTAAAATTAGACCTGCCGTTTGATCCTTCAATCTCACTACTGGGTATCTACCCATAGAAAAATAAGTCATTATATCAAAAAGACATCTGTACTTGTCTGTTTATCACAGCATAATATGCAATTGCAAAGATATGGAATCGACGTAAGTGTCCATCAAATAACAAGTGGATGAACAAAATGTGGTATGCACACACACCCACAAACACACACACGTGCACACACACATACACACTCATACACACACACACACACACACGTGCCATGGAATAGTAATCAGGCATAAAAAAAGAAAGATCTTTTACAGCAACTTGGATAGAACTGGAGAACCTTATCCTAAGTGAAGTATCTCAGGAATGAAAAAACAAATGCCACGTATTCTCATGTATAAGTGGTAGTTAAATGATGTGGAAACATGGCCATACAGAGTGGTATAATTGACACTGGAGACTTAGAAGGGGGAATATTGGTAGAAGGGGAGAGACAAAAAATTACCCATTGGCTACAGTGTACACAATTTTGGTGACAGGTACACTGAAAACCCCGACTTCCCCACTATACAATTATTTATGTAAAAATAAAACACTTATATCCCCCAAATCTTGAAATTTTAAAGAAAGCATTTTTACTTTTGGTTATTTGGCTGTTATTGTAGGATTTGTCTATAAGGCCACTTCAGGTATGTTGGAGGAAGAAATGTATTCTAGTAAATTATACCAAATGTTCGCATACAAATGTATTTCTGTGTAGAAAGCATTTATTCACTGAAAGAGAGCAGCTTATATATTCTTTGAGAAAGCATTCTTATAGTTTTCTCTTAAAGCTGTGTATGTAAATATGAATAATATGAACCAATTAAAGAGAAATAAATCTTAAAAAATCTCAATATTAGCTTACAAATGGGATTCTGTCAAATTGTTCCATTCAGTGAAAGAAAACAGTTTTTGATGTATGTATGTATACATACATAAAGAGTGAGATGTGTACCATCTGGGGGATGGTCATACTGGAAACTCAGACCTGTGGGGGGAGGGGGAGAAAAGGCATTTATCGAAACCTTAAAATCTGTACCCCCATAATATGCTGAAATAAAAAAAAAGTATTTTTACAGTTGGGATTTATGCAGGATTTCACTATTATGCATATTCAGGTCAAATGGAGAAAAAAACTAATTCTAGTACCTTTATGCTAAATATCAGCATAAAATGTCTTTCTCTGTCAAACTCTCCAAACACTAAATACAACAGGTTATGCTTAAACCTTAAGAAAGCATGCTAGGCCAGGTGTGGGGGCTCACACCTGTAATCCTAGCACTCTGGGAGGCTGAGGCGGGCAGATTGCTTGAGGTCAGGAGTTCGAGACCAGCCTGAGCAAGAGCGAGACCCCGTCTCTACTATAAATAGAAAGAAATTAATTGGCCAACTAATATATATAGAAAAAATTAGCTGGGCATGGTGGCGCATGTCTGTAGTCCCAGCTACTAGGGAGGCTGAGGCAGCAGGATTGCTTGAGCCCAGGAGTTTGAGGTTGCTGTGAGCCAGGCTGACTCAATCTAGCCTGGGCAACAAAGTGAGACTCTGTCTCAAAAAAAAAAAAAAGAAAAGAAAAGAAAGAAAGAAAGCATGCTAACATTTGCCTCACACCTGCATATATTAACCTATATAATATGAACCAATGGAAGGAGAAACTTTAAAATAATATATTCTCAAAAAAAAAAAAAAAAAAGAAAAGAAAAGAAAAACGAGTGTCCAGAAAACTTGTGTGGATGTTGTTCTTGATTCTGACCCAGCGCTTTGAAAACCTACTTGTGCCCACAGTGCCAGTCCTAGGGAGTTGGTGGGACCATTTTCTTGGGAGGCTCTAGTTCACCTGTTCTTTTTTTATTACTTTAAATGAAACAAAGGGGAGGGGCAGCCACGCAAAAGTAAAACAATCATGCCAGGGGAGAGAGCCCTAAGAGGAGCACAGCACTTGAAGTATAGTCACCTATTCAATTTTTCCATCAATGCCAATTTCTTATCTGTGCAACGAAATATTTCGAGACTGCCTGGAGCATCCAGAGCAACACGATAAATGTTCTAAAAACCACATTGGCCATTGTGAGCAAGAAAAATTACCCTATTTCATTTTCTCTGGTTCAAACCAACTGCTGCTGGGAGATAGCATATGGTCATGTTGCCTGTGAGTAAGAAGCTGGAAGCATCTCTCAAGGAGACCATCCCTTTCTAAGTTTAACAGAGGAGGAGGTCTCAAGGCTTGAATGGAATTATCACGAAAAGTCTAATTTCTGTGACACACTGAGTTCCATTCATCCTAATAACAAGTGCCCATGTTCCCCTGAAATACAGCTTTCACCTACCCACCTTCTTGCTCAAAAGTGCCTCACTAACTCTACAGCCCCCACCAAATCCACCACAGTCCCCAGACGATCAGAGGCCCCATACTCTCCACTTCCCACCTTGAGTCTTGTTGGTCCAGCACCTCACTGCTTATCCTGAATGAGCCCCCATGTGCCTACCCTCCCTCATGCTTCTGCCTCTGCGGGGTTACTTCTGTCCCCACATGTCCCAACCTCACCCAGATGCCAGTGCATGACCAGGGGCAAATGTCTCATCCACTCATGAGGACACCTCATTTCATCGTCCTGCCCCGAGTACATTCCCTCTCTGGACGAGCTTGCAGTTGGTTGTTTCCAATTACAGGAGTTGAGAGCATTTGACTAGCATGTGTTTCCTGAAGGACAAGTATGCATTATTGGTATCTATTTAACTTTGCCCTTAGCTTAGTGTCTGTCAAATAATCTAACACAATAAATAATCTCTGGATGAATGCACTAATCCACAAAATGACCTGGTTTGATTCCCTTAGAGTTTGGCTCTTTTCTCACACAGCCAGCCCAAGTACTGCCTGGCCACAGTGAAATGTTAGTGGTTGTCACCTAACCTGTCTGAGTGTTCCCCATGTACATGTGACACCCGGCTCCTTCTCATAGAATCCTTCCTCTTAACAGAGATCCCTGCTCAGAATGGTATGATGATAAATGCTGTCTACGCCAACTTCCAAGAACAAGGGAAGATTTCATCTAGACTAGTTTTAGAAATTAAGAAACAGTAAGTAGAAAATCTTTTTATACTTGTTCTTTGCTCCTAGGGTTTATTAACAAGGTAAATTGTAAGGAAGATTGAGTAAGTTTTATGTGGAAAAAAAAGTGTACATAACCGATGGAAGAGATGAAAAACAATTATAAATAGAAAACAGAATTCTTTATACCCTCTTATATCTCTGTCCTATCCAAGGATGCCCTGCTGGACAGGACCCGGGCCTTGGACATCACAAAATTCCTACTTTTCTTCCCTCTCTTCCTTCTGTATATTACGTGGGTAGTCCCCCCAGCCATGTTCAAAGATGAGCAGGAGGCCAGAAATAGAAAATATGCCTTTACCCTTTTTCTTTTATCTGGTAAGCATCTCTAATTTTTACCTCTTCACTATTTACCTTGAAAAGGTCTTTGACTAGAACCTCATCTTGTCTATGCCTCAGGCTAATGTCCATTTTCCTACAGCCCATAGAATAAAAAACAAGTATCATTCTCAGAGATAATATTTATTAAGAAGATAGATCCCCTCACTTACTATGCAAGAGGAACATAATTAAATTATTTTGCAGATAAAGAAACTGAGGATCAGAAATGTGGCCCTGAGATAAAAAGTGGTGAGATCCAGGATATAAATCTAGACCCTGTAATTCTAGAGACTTCAGCAAACCTTTATGCCTACTGACCTTGAAACTAACCAGAAAAAGTTCTGGATCCAACCAGTTACACTTGTGTGTTGAAGCATAGCATGTGTACTTAAAAATATGGCAATGATAAGAACAGGTTGAGCTTCCTAAACCAGAAATTTGGAAGGTTCAAAAAGCTAAAGTTTTTGAGTGCTGACATGACACCTGGAGTTTCACACAGGACCTCATGTGATGGGTCAGAGTCAAAACCCAGCTGCATAACGCACAGCTTACTCGCGGGCACTCCCGTACTTCCCCACGCGAACACACCCACAAAAGGGAATGAATGTGTGCAGGCCACGGGCACCAGTGGCACGTTCCCCACGATGCTAGCAAAGGGCCAAGACCTGTGTGCATTGTCTACTGTGGCTGTTTTTTGTTTATTTCCTGCTCTGTCTGTGAAGATATATTACAATGCTCAAAATGCCTGCAGATACTCTTATGGATAATAGTAACAAGAAAAAGAGGAAGCATTTACATTTGTCTATAGCACAGAAAGTCAATATTTTGGAGAAACTGGACAGTGCTGAAAGTATGGAACATCTTACAGAAAAGTATAATGTTGGAATGAACAACATATATGACCTGAAGAAACAGAAGGATAAATAGTTGAAATTCTACACTGAATGTGATATTCAGAAGATAATGAACACCGTGTAAAGGCAAAAACAAAGATCTTAATTATGTATTGAAATAGATGCACAGATTGTCTATATGGGTGGTAGAAATATTGACACCTTTGCTTTCTGATGGTTCAATATATGGAAATGTTTCATGTAAAAAAACCTAAAAATTATTTATAAAATTATTTTCAGGTTATGTGTATAAAGTGTGTGTGTGTATGTGTATATATATGTATATATAATTTTTTTATTACCTCATATTATGGGGGTACAAATATTCTTAGGGTTACATATCTTGCCCCTGCCCCCCTCCCCCACTATGCCAGAGCTTCTAGTGTGTCCAGCCTCCAAATGGTGCACACCACACCCACCATGTAAGTGTATACCCTTCCCCATCTCCCCTCTTCCCCCTGTCCACCTCCCAATAACAGATTATTTTTAGACTTTTTAGTTACAGTGTGTATCTTTGCCTCCCTCTAAAAAGGGATAGAGATAATCCCTTCCCCCCAACAATGCTCACCACATCCTTAAGATGTGGGTCTCCCCCCACTAAATCCCTGTTGAAAACTACCATTTAATGAGCACCATAGTTTTAGTCAGTCAGTACCAATCTGATGGCGAGTAGATGTGTAGCCCATTTTCCAGATCTTGTGTCATCTCTCTTTGTATTAAGGGCTTAAGCTTAATCCAGGATAGCATAAACGGTGCTAGCTCACTATCGTTTCTTAGGATTGAGTAATATTCCACTGTGAGCATATACCACATTTTAGTTATTCACTCATGAATTGACGGGCACTTGGGTTGTTTCCATGACTGTGCAATAGTGAATTGTGCTGCCATAAACATTTGGGTGCAGATGTCTTTATAATAGAGTGACTTATGTTCTTTTGGGTAGATGCCCAACAATGCTATTGCTGGGTCGAATGGTATTTCTATTTCTAGCTGTTTGAGGCATCTCCAAATTCTTTTCCACAAAGGTTGCACTAATTTGCAGTCCCACCAGCAGTGTAAGAATGTTCCTGTCTCTCCACATCCTCGCCAGCATTTGTTGTTTTGGGATTTCTTGATATAGGCCATTGTCACTGGGGTTAGGTGGTATCTCACTGTGGTTTTGATTTGCATTTCTCTAATGATTAGAGATGTTGAGCATTTTTTTATATGTTTGCAGGCCATTATTCTGTCTTCTTTGGAGAAGTTTCTATTCATTTCCATTGCCCATTTCTTGATGGGTTTGTTTGATTTTTTCTTGTTTATTCTTTTATGTTCTAGATAGATTCTTGTTATTAGACCTTTATCTGAAGTGTAGAGAGCAAATATTTTATCCTATTCTGTGGGTTGTCTATCTGCTCTTATGATCGTTTCCTTGATAGTACAGAAACTTTTTAATTTGTTCAGATTCCATTTGTTTATTTTTGATGTGGCGGTGATTGCCTTGGGGGGTCTTCCTCATAAATTCTTTGCCTAGACCAATATTTGATAGAGTTTTCCCAACATCTTCTTCTAGGATTCTTAAAGTTTCATGCCTTAGGTTTAGGTCTGTTATCCATCTTGAGTGAATTTTTATGAGAGGTGAGAGGTTGGAATCCTGATTTGCTCTTCTGCATGTTGCTAACCAGTTTTCCCAGCACCATTTATTGAAGAGAGAATCTTTTCCCCATAGTATATTTTTGTCTGCTTTATAAAAGATTAGGTTACTGTATACAGATGGTTTCATCTCTGGAATCTCAGATATATTCCAGATATCTATGCTTCTGTTCTTGTGCCAATACAAGGCAGATTTAACTATTATTGCTTTATAGTACAGCTTGAAGTCAGGAAAACTGATCCCTCCCAGTTTGTTCTTTTTATTTAAGATTTTTTTGGCTATATGTGGTTTTCTCTGGTTCCATACAAAGCGAAGAATTATTTTTTATAGATCTGTGAAGAATGCTGGTGGTATTTTGATGGGGATTGCATTGATTCTGTAGATCACCTTAAGTAATATTGACATTTTAACAATATTGATTCTACCAAGCCATGACCATGGTAGATTTTTCCATCTGTTCAAATCATCTGCAATTTCTTTTTTTAGTGTTTCGTAGTTCTCCTTGTATAAATCTTTCATATCTCTCGTATTTAATTTTCTTTGGGGCTATAGTAAAGGATATTGCATTTTTGATTTGAGTTTCTGCTTGATGGTTCTTGGCATATATGAATGCTTTTGATTTGTGTATATTTATTTTATACCCTGAAACTTTACCGAATTCATTTATCAAATCTAGGAGTCTCTTGGATGAGTCCATGGGGTTTTCTAGATATAATATCATATCATCAATGAAGAGTGAGAGTTTGATCTCATCTGCCCCGACTTGGATGCCCTTAATACTCCTCTCATGCCTGATTGCTATAGCTAGGACTTTGAGCACTATGTTGAATAGGAGAGAAGAAAGTAGGCATCCTTGTCTAATTCTGGTTCGAAGAGGGAATGATTTCAATTTTTCCCCATTTAGAATGATGTTAGCCGTTGGTTTGTCATAAACGGATTTGATAAATTTAAGGTATAGGCTGTCTATGCCTATTTTGTTAAGAGTTTTTATCATAAAGTTATGTTGGACTTTGTCAAAGGCTTTTGTGCATCTACTGACAGAATCATAAGGACTTTGTTCTTGACTTTATTTATAAAGTGAATTGCATTTATAGACTTACATATGTTGAACCATCCTTGCATGCCAGGAATAAATCCCACTTGATCATGGTGAATTATTTTTTTGATGTGCTGCTGAATTCTATTTGCTAAAATTTTGTCTAGGATTTTTGCATCTATATTCATGAGGGATATTGGTCTGTAATTTTCTTTTTTGTTGCATCCTTTCCTGGCTTTGGTATCAGGGTGATATTGGCTTCGTAGAATGAGTTACGAAGAGTACCATCCTTCTCAATGGTGTGGAATAGTTTCTGTAGTATAGGTATGAGTTCATCTTTGAATGTTTGGTAGAACTCTGGAGTGTAGCCATCTGGCCCAGGACTTTTCTGTTTGGGGAGGTTTTTAATGACTGTTTCAATTTCTGAGCTTGTGATTAGTCTGTTCAAGAACTCAGATTCCTGCTGGGTGAACTTAGGGAGGTTGTGTGATTCCAGGAATCTGTCCATTTCATCTTCATTCTGTAGTTTTGGGGCATATAGGTTTCTATAGTAGTGAAACATAATGTTTTGTATTTCTGTGGAGTCTGTTTTGATCTCTCCTTTTTCATTTCTTAATGAGGTTATTAGAGTCCTTTCCATTTGAGTTCTTGTCAGCCTAGCCAGAGGGCTGTCAATTTTGTTGATCTTTTCGAAAAACCAGCTTCTGGTTTTGTTGATCTTCCATATAATTCTCTTATTCTCCATTTCATTTAGTTGAGCTTTGATCTTAGATATTTCTTTTCTTCTGCTAGGATTGGAATTGGTTTGCTCTTCTTTTTCCAATTCCTTGAGTCTATTCATTAGGTTGTTGATGTCTAATCTTTCTGTTCTTTGGATGTGAGTGTTTATTGCTATTAGTTTTCCTCTCTGATATGCTTTTGCTGTATCCCCAAGGTTTGGGTAAGATGTGGCTCCATTGTTGTTTTGTTCAAAGAAATTCTTGATTTCCCTGTTAATTTCTTCCTTGACTCAATAGTTATTCAACAGTAGATTGCTTAGTTTCCATGACTTAGTGATGTGGTGTGTATTTCTGTTAGAGTTGAACTATAATTTTATACCACTATGGTCAGAGAAGACACAAGGTATTATTTCTATTTTCTTGAATTTTTTGAGATCTGCTTTGCAGCCTAGTATGTGATCAATCTGTGGGCTGCTGAGAAGAATGTAAATTCAACTTTATTTGGGTGGAATGTTCTGTATAGATCTGTCAGACCTTTTTGGTCAATAACTTTGTTTAGGTCCCTTATTTCTTTACTTAATTTCTGTTTGGAGGATCCATCCAGTTCATTTAGTGGTGTATTGAAGTCCCCTGCCTACTGTGGCAGTATTGTTTAAGGTGGTATTTAGCTCAGACAAGGTTTGCTTTATGTAATTGGTTGCTCCTGCATTGGGAGCATAAATATTAAGAATTTTTAGATCTTGTTGAATCTTCCCTTTCACCATTATGAAGTGGCCTTCTTTATCCTTTTTTACTTTTGCTAATCTAAATCTAATGTTGTCTGTGAATAATATAGCATCTCCTGCTTTCTTTTGACTTCCATTTTCCTGGATGATAGTTTTCCATCCCTTGATCTTCAGCCAGTAGGCATCTTTATGGTCTAGGTGTTTTTCCTGTAGACAGCAAATACTAGGCTTGTGGAATTTTATCCACTCTGCCAGCCTATGTCTCTTCAGAGGACAGTTTAAACCATTTACATTTATTGAGAGGATTGAAATTGGAGGAAGATTTCTATTCATATTGATGGGAGAAGTCCTATTGCTTTGACTTAGAGCTTGAGCCATCATGAAGTTCGAGATCTAGACTTTAATTCTATGAGGATTTCAATTAGAGGAGTGTCTATTGCCTTGTTCACTGTGGAAGGCAGGTCTGAGAATTTCCTGTAGTGCTGGTCTGGTCTTTGCATAATCCTTCACCAATTGCTTGTCTGAGAAGGATTTTATTTCACTCTCATAGATGAAACTTAATTTTGCTGGATAAAGAATTCTAGGTTGGGCTGTGTTCTGTTTTAGAAGATTAAGGATAGGCACCCACTCCCTCCTGGCTTGTAAGTTTTCAGATGAGAAGTCTGCAGTTAGTCTGATAGGCTTTCCTTTATAGGTTATTTGTTGTTTACGCCATGCTGTACGGAGGATTGCTTCTTACACATTTAATTTGGTCAGCTTAATAACCACATGAGGAGACAATTGCCTATTAACATTGTGTCTCCCAGGGGTTCTGTGCACTTCTTGAATTTGGATATCCAGATTTCTAGCTAGGCCTGGCATATTTTCCCCCAGTATGCCGTAAAATAAGTTTTCCAACCCTTGTGAATGTTCCTCTTCCCCCTTCTGGAATCCCAATCAATCTGAGATTCAACTTTTTAACATAATCCCATACTTCCTGTAAGCTTTGATCTTGTCTCTTATTTCTGTGCACCCTTTCTTCCTCTGATTTGTTTAGCATGTAGGTATAATCTTCAAGCTCTGAGATTCTTTCCTCAGCATGGTCTATCCTGT